GAAAGATCTGAATTGGCGGAGCATATCGCACAGACTGGACACGAGATGAATTGGAGGGCAACAGAAAGAAGGGCCTCATATGGTGACAACACAAAGAAGCGGAATCTAGTCAAGTTTTGGTGAAGAGAATGACAAGATTCGCAAATGATGCCGACTACTATGCCGATGAAACGTCTGAGAATGTACCAAGTCCATGGTCTGATGCTGGAAATTATGATAACTATTATGGTAGAGGAATTCGGACTAGGTGCGTTCTACTAAGTCGCCCTGGCAACAAGACCAATTTGCGACAACGAGGTCAACCCATAATCTTAGTCTTCATATCATTGGTAGCTCTAAGTTCTGACGTTATAACTACTGATGGTTTCAACAAACTACTCGTACAGATTATAAGTAACCTCAATTTAAATGACAAATACGCATTTGCCTTTCATTTCGTTTGCAAAAGCGGCTGGAAAGGATTCTTTACTTGGTATCATCGGTTACAGGAGAAGGGTCATTCTAGATTATTTACATAGAGAAAAGCTGTGACCACATTCGGCCCTATTCCTGCGTCAATTTCACTTATATACTTACACGTAGGCCAAGCAGAAATTAGCCGACCAAGTCATTAAAAGTCATCTTGAAAGGCACTCCTCGGAACGCAACTTTTCTTGATAGCATTAAATCATCGAATGCCTAATTATGATCGCAAATTTGGGTAAAAAAAATTAAGTATACTTTTAGTCGGCCACATTTCTTGGTTGATACTGGCATACCTTTCATTTCGTATGTGAAAGTGGGTCGAAGGGGTTCGTAGATTGGCTTCCCCGGATACCGCAGGAGGGTTGCCTTGGGTGTTTTTCTGTTGATTATGAGAAGAAGACCTCGGCTCACCGTCCTGCGACCTCGTGTGATGAACATCGTCAGGGCCATAAAACATTATTTACAAAACAATCACCAACAAACTCAGCTTCTTTGAAGATGTGAAGAGCAAGATGGTGTGGCTTCTGGTATGGTCGCAGTCTCCTTTCGATTTGTAGAAGTGGGTTTACCACGTTGACAACAAGACCAAGTTGCGACAACAAGGCCAACCCACTTCAAGAAACCCAGCTTCTCTTAATACTTTTTGCTGATTATTGGTAAGTAATGGTTTCTGACTTTGACGATGACCATCACATGACGGACGAAAGTTCAGCATGGAGTCATCGGGATGGCAGCACCGTGAGCCGTGGTCTTCTTCGCATAATCCAACATTCCCAAATTCAAGGCGACCCTCCTTCAGAGTACGGTGAGGCCAATTTACGAGTCCCTTCCAGGCGGCTTTTCAAACGAAATGAGGTTGTACCAACACCAATATACGTATGAATATTTCGAATCCCAGATTCTCTATTTATCATAGGAAATCTTACTGTAACTGTGATTTGAAAGAGGTCAGGCTTGCTTTAAAAGTCAAATCTGCTCTGTGACCCCCCTGGCACAGATGGAGTTGCAAGATGCTGTCAGTATTCTCACGACGCGGTTGCGAATATTGTTTGGAATGCTAAAGAGGCCCATGTGATTTTGAAATTTTAGTCCATCTCAGAAGACAAAACTTTCTCGGAGAATAGTTCAAGTGGAATTCACTGATATTTTGAGGCACACGCATAGCATTGTGTGGAGAACTCCACTAGCAACCTAATCTGTCTTAAGTTGTTATTGTTTATTTTGATATATGTTGCATTCGTGGGCAATCTTTTTTCCCACAATGATGTGAGTAGAGATAACGTTTCCATTCTATTTCACATAGCCTTGCTTTCCCAAAAGTTGTTCTCCTCCAGGACTGCAGTTTTGAACTCGTATCAATTGGTCTTATCAACACCCCGGCGGGAGTCGAACCGTGACATTTCAGCATGTAAGCTTGACACGTTAATCACTCGTCCACATTGCCACGAGTGCCCTTGTGTCCCATGGCAGGTGTGAATTTCAAGGAAGGCCAGGTCTTTTCCCATATCACATCATTTGGTGGGGTTGTCGATGAATCAAACGTATATTTGCTATAACAATCGACTCATTTTTCGTATGTAAGTAGAGTTTCTAGACTACCAGCAAATCATATATTCTTGCCTCTGTGTATGAAGAAACAGGAGTTGAGACCATCTGTTAATGTTTATGAGACGTATGCCAGACCAAAATTGTTCGTCCTGCCTCAACTTTTGCTGCAGTCTCCTCTCGTTGAATAAAATCAGCTTTTATTGAGTGCATTCACTTCCATTTCGAGGGAAAGTGTTTGGTGAAGATATTTAATAGCCGATTCCACCAAAAGACGACGGTGGATACCTCTTGATCAGATGACAGTTGTATTTACTGGAACATTCTTGTTGAAACTGCTTCCGTGACAAGCTCCTTCAATTCCGGTGAAAACTTGCATCGTGTGATGGGCATCACCAGAGTAGGATAGCATTCATACAATCATATTCAAGGTGATGAGTCAAGAAAACTCACCGGCTTATCCATAAATGCTATATACGTACCATGACTCTATGCTATTTGATGAGGTTTGGAGTGATTTGTTCAGTTCAAGATAAATGTCAACCTCAAAGTAAGTGACTGTTTCTTTCTGTGTGTGTTTATGTGCCTTCATCTGCTTGTATATGCTCTGGCAAGATTGACCTTCGAATCTCTTCGCCAAACGCTTTCCCTCGAAATGGAAGTGAGCTAAAACAATTATGAACCAAGATATTCATCAAAGCGCAACATTTCTTCGCATGAAATAGCTTTGTTAGGGGGACTTTGATTTCATATTAAAGTGAATGAAGATGAGATTCGTCGGACGATCTTACCAGAAGAGAACGGATGAATCTTGTAGTACTGCAGCCGTTTAGCTTTGATACGATGTACATGTTGACGCAGTCCACGACATTTCGGGTGAAAATGTGCTGATGAACATCATCAGAGCTGGGTGTCATTCTTTTAAAAGTCTCACGTTAACACTAAAGCAAGAACGCTATTCGGCTCTATCTTACTTCTTATTTAGACTCAATTGAGCCAAAAGAAAATTAAAAATCAGGATAGATCGGCATAGAGTGGTTTGGCTAATTGTCTTTCATACTGTTCCTGTTACGAGTGTATGTGTATGTGTATGTGTATGTGTGTGTGTTAACGTCTATATCCAATACGGTTCCTAAATCAGAGTTGTCAAAGGTTTAAGTTCAGGTTCTGATCCTCAAAACCTAATGACCTAAGAGAAAGCCTTGACTGAGACTGCGTAAGTCCGTAAACAAGTATGGTTGAGATAATGAGATATGAGCTTGTAAGCATGTAAATCAAGTTACGGGGGTCATTATCGTTTAACACTCCAAGGAAAGGTAAGACTGGAGTTGCGTAATCGGTCATGTCTGGTTTGGTTGATGAATTTACTCTAACATGTTGGACGAAGGTTAGAACCATCACTGAGCAGACGAGTTGAGTCACCTTCTTTTTGACGGCGACTTAACACCCTCTCTCTCTCTCTCTCAATCTATAAATCAAGTATAAATAGTTCCTCACATTCAACCTCTTTTCTAGGCTATTAATTTCAATAGCCTCATGTGGTCAATGTTATGTTGGTGAGACATGTCGACCTATTCGATAAAAGTTGGAAGAACACAAAAATGCACAGAAAAGTCGGGTTTCGAGGAATCTTTTGTTTCATAATTTTTGAGCTTACGTCCATTTCGAGTAAAAGTGTTTGGTGAAGAGATTCGACGGTCATAGTCACTTCTCTGTACTTTTAGCTCACTCATTCTCTCCTGCGTTGAGACCAAAAACAAAAAAAAGGTTCACCAACAAAATTAGACGAGTGTCCGACCTTGGGCAATCGGAGTGATGGTTATAACATGAATGTAGAAAGGAGGAGATATAGAATATCAAACCTTGATGGCCGAAAACGGACTTTCATTTTGCTGTCCTAATTACTTTGGGCCATAACTGCGGGTTTCGTGCATAAGTGA